CCGCCTAAACGCAAATTTCTACCGTATTCAGAAGGTAGATCAGCAACAACTAGCGTATTGAGTCTGTAGTTCTGGACTCCACGGGGAAGTCTATTGGGTAATTCAGTGAGTTCAACACTTATAACAGGAGCATCAGCTACTAGTGTGGTGATGCTGTGCCTCTATCCTCTCCAAATTTACGGAATCCATATTGATGGACTCCAAGCCATAAAACATAATTGCTACGGACAGTAGCACCAACGCCTAGTCGGATGAGGCTGTGATCATAGATTTTACAAGGGAGTCGACAAAGTAATTGTTTGTATCCCGTCCGCAAAACCTATATCATACGGAAACTAACCCCTGCAATACCTGGCGTGGTGAGGTTAAAAGTCTAAAACACAAGAATAAAACAGAACAGTCTAAAAGGTAATTGTTTGGCTCCAGTCTATAAAACTTATATGCTACGGAAACAAGAGCTGAAAAAAACCTAGCGTGCTGAGGCTTTGTCACGAGACCCCACATGGTGAGTCTACAAGATAATTATTTGGTTCCAGTCTGTAAAACATACTTCCTACGTAAACTAAAGCAGCAACATGTAGCGTGGTGATTCTGTGGCCGTGTGTTCCGCAAGGGATATTAAAATATAATTGATTTGGCCCGCTTCGTCAAACCTACTTACAAAAGAAACCGCAACAACAACACCTAGAGTGGCAACCCTATATACGTACGCTCCAGAAAGAAGCCTTCAAGGTAATAGTTTTGCTCCAGTCCGTAAAAACTCCTTACTATGGACACCACAACAACAAGCACCAGCGTGGCGAAGCTATGGCACAAGACTCCACAAGGGCGTTTGCAAGGAAACTGTTTGATTCCAGTCCGAAAAACATACTTATTACAAAAGCTGCAGAAGCAGTACATAGCGAGGTGAAGCTGTGGCGGTAGGCTCCTCAGGAGAATCTACAAGGTAATTATTAGGCTTCAGCCCGTGAAACCTAACTACTATCACACCCCAGTAGCAAAATCTCTATTGTTTACGTTATGGCTCCAGGTTCCACAAGGAGAGGGAGCAAGATAATTGTTAGGCTTCATTCCGTTAAACCAATCAATGTAAATCACAGCTGCAACATCTAATGTGGTGAGGATGTGGCCATAGACTCCACATTAGAGCCTACAAAGTAACTGTTTGAGTCAATTCCATAAAACTAACTTACAGCGTAAAGCACAGAAAGAACACCTAGTGAGCTGAAATTGTTATTCCGATAGTAGTTTAAAAGGTAACTGTTTGACTGCAGTGCGTAAAAACTACATACTGCGAAAATCACAGCTGTAACAACGTGTTAAAATTCTGGCCCTAGATACTACAGGAGAGTTTATAAGCTAATTGTTTTGCCCCAGGCCGGAAATACTATGTAAACAAAAGCCACAATGACTAGCGGGGTGAGGCTGCCGCCTTTGGCTCCATTGGCAAGTATGCATCAACAATTCATTGGCGATTCCCATGTGGAGCCTCACGAAGCTAGGGCTTTCTAATGCGGTTTCCGTAGTGTCTAGAATTAACGGACTGAAGCCAGTTAATTTCGTTCTAGACTCCCATCTGGTGTCTCACAATGTTAGCTGTTGATGATGTGCTTTCCATAGACCATAGAAATTAGGTTTTAGAAAATAACTTGTAGACGTGTATTTGGATCATAAGGCCACAGCCTCATCACGCTAGGTGAAGCTAACGTGCTTTCCGTATATTTTACGGACTGGAGCTAAATAATTATACTATAGACCCCTATATGGAGCCTAAGGCTACAACCTCAAAACATTAGGTGTTGTTGATGATGTTTTCTTATTGAGTAGGTTTTACGGTTCGGAAACAAACAAACAAACAAAAAAATTAGACTCCCCAATTGTGACACAGCTCAAAGCTTCACCAATCTAGTTGGTGAAGATGTGATAGATGTAGGGAGTTGTTTTTACAGACCAGATCCAAACAATTAACTTATAGACACGGACATGGTGCCTAAGGCCACATTCTCATCACGCAAGGTATTGCTGCTGGGTTGCGTAGTATATTACGTTTTACGAACTGGAGCCAAACATTTAATTTGTAGGCTCCCATGTGGAACGTAGAGCGACACTCTCACCTGGCTATGTGTTGCTGCTTTGTTTCTCGTAGTAAATACGCTTTACTGACATGAGTCACACAATTACTATATAGATTCTCTTGTCTTTGCAAGGTAACAGCCTTACTACTGCAGGTGGCACTGATGTAGTTTCTATAGTTAGTAGGACTTATGGAATAGAACTAAACTGTTGCATTCCCACTCTCTTCTGGAGTTCTCCTAGTTGACGGAGTCGACTCGACAATAAAGATGTCTTTTCTTTCGGCCAGCTCTGGAAATGATTTGGAGTCCAGATGTGAAAGGCATCAACAAAAAGGAATTTTAAAATTATCTATTTTATTAAACACGTCAACGTGTACATTTCTAACTAGCCAGTGGAGTTGCTCTCTCATTCTCACTGGAATACAAGTTCACAGAGACGAATTTCGCATGTATTCATTGCCAGTCGTGTCAGAACTGACCCATCAGAAAAAACGTTCCTTTCCCTAACATTACAACGCTACTTTTAGCCAATTAAAAACGACTTCCTTTGTTTTCGTGTATTTGACCTCAAAGGTCAAGATGAGGAAGTCAAACAAAAAAAACATACAATTCCTTAACAAATAATAGTGTACTAAACTATTATTTATCAAAACAATTACTGTGTAGACTCTTCTGTTGAGCCGAAGGGGCATAAAATCACCATGAAATGTGTTGCTTCTGGGGTTTTACGGACTGGAAATGACATGTTTTGTGGATGTTTGAAAAGTTAAATGAAAGAAGCAGTTTGACACTTACACAATAATTAGCTGATGAACTAATGCCGCAACCACTGTGTCCAAAGTTTTCAACATGTACTTAGATGATCATATTGTAGATGCTATATGCACCTTCAACAATGCTGAAGCCTCATGTGTTGTTCAAGGTTTCAATGCAAATACCCCTCCAAGCAGAACGTGTATTTTGGATAGATGTAGATCCTGCGTAAATAAGCACGTCCTTTTTTTTAGACCATGCCCATCTGTGTCTTAGCCCTGACTATTTAAATGGAGATAGGGGGTTGCTCACTAATCCTACCAGGACTGCAAACAGGTGAGCCTAATGCGTTGGATCCATTACAGGCGCATCTCCCGGAGGAACCCGTTTTATACAGCGACGATGCATACTGGAGGTGGGGCGGGGAAGTTGGACTACCCTACCCAATCGACACTGGACTAGATCACGTAATCTAGTATAGGTAAAAAGTAATATAACTGGAATTGGATCTCGGCATTAAATTTAAAATCCCAAGATATTATACATTGCACCACCGCACACCCAAGCTTACAGCAATTTATATTCCCAAGGAGTCACCCATCTGGGAAATAACAAGGGTCAACGCTGCTTAACTCTGGTCATCGTACAGGGATCAGTGGTTCACTATGTTGTGCCCGTAATCCCCTGTGTTGGGGAGGGGGAATAATTTGTATCTGACATGCTTTCGATGTCTCCATTAAGTGCCCACATGGAATTCACTGGATATAATTTAACAATTATTAAGACAAAATGAAATTTTTTCAAACATTGTTGAATACAATATATAACATAACACTGAAAAATATCACATAGTTTATAGTAATTATTCTTTTCATAATTAAACCAACATCTTGTTTCAAATAATTGTAATCTTCAGAATTCCTCTTATATATGCTATGACTCTTCAACCATGGCTCTCTAAAGCGTCTATCCCTTGTAGCTCTAGTTACTATTTCTCTCATTAATGCCCACCTTGTCTTTATAAATCCTGTGAGTGGCAGATTCTCCGATTCAAATTTCCTCGTTATACGACATCGTTTAAAAGCTTCTCCCAGCAAGAAGAGCCTACCTGAGCATTTCTGTTGTGGCAACAGATTTCTGTCTTAATTTTCGTGTAGGCAAGGTTCATATAAAGGTGAGATATGCGCTACAAATAAAAAAGTAGACAAAACAGACGCCTTAGCAATCATAAAATATCTTCAAAAGAAAAGTGTCATACCCAAGGAAATCCATGAGGACAGGCTACAGACACTTGCTGAGGACTTCCCTTCCTATGCAACTGTGAAGAGGCAGGCTGAAGAATTCAGTCGGGGCAAAGGCAGCACAGAAGATGACACGCAGTCTGGTCATCCAAAAACCTCAATCACTGACAAAAAATTCGATGTCATTCACAGTATTTTAGGGAGTGACCAGAAGATAGCTAATCCACAGGTTTTAGTTTTGGTTTGATCCATACTGTTATAACGGAGATCTTGGAAATGAGCAAGTTGCCTGGAAGATGGGTCTCAAGAATCCTGGCACCAGAGGCTTCGAACTTTTGGAATGATCCTCGTGTATCCCAGCAATTTTCTCATTATTATTCTAAGTGTAAGTATCCTCTTTATTCCTATTTATCTTAAAAACAACGTCGTTGCTCTCATGCCTGCAAACATGGATTTCTCATCCCCCTTCTGTAGAACAATATCTCTGTTACATCGAGTCTCTATTTCGTGTGTGAAGAAATTATATGCCACTGGCATATAGGAGATCTGCTTATACATGACATTTCTTGATTAATCATTCTTTTAAATATTCTTGTAGAAACCGGAGGGAAATCTGTGAAAATTAATGTCGATCTAGAAGTGCTAAAATATGAATGACACATACAACACGTACAATGAGGTGTTACTGGTTAGATCATGCTTGATAATTATGAGAAAAGCAAACATATATATATATATATATATATATATATATATATATATATATATATATATATATATATATATATATATGTGTGTGTGTGTGTGTGTGTGTGTGTGTGTGTGTGTGTGCGTGTGTGTGCCGGGTGTTTATAGTCAACTGTCTGACCAGTGTGATAACACTCAAGGCAAAGCGTGACTAAAATTGCAAAGCTTCTAGGAATAGCAAGATATGCTTTTCAGAATCTGTGAGTTCTTCTTCTTCTTCTTATCCTTCTTATCCTTCTTTTTCTCTTTCTTTTTCTTCTTCTTTTTCTCTTCCTCCTTCTTCTTTTTCTCTTCTTCTTCTTCTTCTTCTCTTCCTTCTTCTTTTTCTCTTCCTTCTTTTTCTCCTCATTCGTCTTCTTCTTCTTCTTTGTTGTGTCATATCCCTTCGAAACTTTGGTCGTCATGGTTCTCCCCTATTTCCTGTCCTTTGTAGCTCTTAGTAACATTTCTTCCTTTGCTCATTCTCTTAAACCCTGTCCTGCCATCCGTTTACACAATAATTTCATGGTAATTGTTCTTATGAATTTTCTCCAGATTTAATGACTTTAAACGCAGTACTATCTTAACCGTAAGTTTTATGCTAACAGTTTCTTCTATCGCACTTCTTGCTTGTGGAAATCTCTTTCAGCTTCTTGCTTCGCAATCAAATTTAATATTCAAAAATTTAAACGCAGTATCAATCGTTATCTTCCTTTTCTTTTACTGTTCTATTCCTTGTGTCTTAGTGGCTTTATTTCCTTGCTTGGAGTGAAATGATTAAAAAATGCTTGTTGGTGGGGGCGTTATATTTTATTATCCTCTGCCAATCTTGTGTGTAATACGATCTGCGAGTGTGAAATTTTCTAAGACCTCATTTCTCATTATATGCTCTAGAAATTTCATCTGTCTCGTTTCAGTGTTAAGAAAAGTCCATTAAAAACAAAGTTCTAGACTTCCCTGTAACTGCTCTACAACTTCATAACAGATAGCAAAAAAAAGAACCAATAAAAAAAAAACGGGATCAATAGTTCTTTTTATCGATGAATATTGAGATTTCTTTTAAAAGAACCTATGAATAGCTAATTAGAACAAGAATAAGGTTAGAGCTGATTTTTTCGGATATATACAGAATTCCTGACAGACGGACTAAGAAGATTTTCCGGGTATGAGGAATTGGTTACAAAGTTCGGATATGAGGGGTTTTATTTAGATTGAAATAAAAGAACTGAAATCAGGTTTAACATTTATTTTCAATGTTTTATAGTAAACAAAATAAGCTAATGGAAAGTGAAATATAACAGAAGTGATTTTAAGTAAAAAGAAATAAATTATGTAATGTTAATGAACATTCATTAAATTAAGTATGCCACGTATGCAAAACAAATAATGTAACGAGGATTGTTTAATCGCTGTTGCATGATGATTCATTCACTTCTAATGTCATTCTCAACTTTTCCGCATTTCGTTTTACTTTTGTTTTTGAAATTTTTTAAAAGAAAGACGTTTTTTAACACTGCGTACGTTATTGCAATCGTCATATCTGAATGCTGGCTTTCTTTCCATAATACTGAGAACCTTTTCAATAGTTTTTCTATTTCAGTCGCGGTTTCATCACAATCATGCATCTTGTCGCTATCTTGTTGCAGATGTGTCTCTTTATCATCTTTTCCTCTTATTCGCATCAACTTTTTGCACCAATACAAGCCATTAGGGTGAAATAAGCATAAGCTATTATCCAAAGTAAATTTCTTGAAAAACAGAAATTTCAAATCAGTTACACATCACCCAAATAGTTCAAATATACACATCAAAATTATATCCGAATATGCGGGATTCAGGTTATGGGGCACTCCGGATATGCGGGATTCCGGATATGAGGCATTCCGGATATGAGGCATTCCAGATATGAGGGATTCCGGATATAAGAGATTTTACTTTTGTAAGAAAAAAGGCGGGGAGAATTTAACACACACGTGAAGCACCGGAGTCCAGAGAACTGGCGGACAAGTACGGGTAACGTGTTTAAACATTTTGTTTTAAGGAATGTAGGTATAATTCCAAAAAAAGTAAAGAAAATTAGGATAAAAAATTTCTCCCGATTAAACATCTTTGATTTAAGATCAGGAATGTTTTCGGAAACCGTTGACGAGTTATCGTCGCATTGACTGCATCCATAAATATGGAGCTTAGTCTATACTATTTTACTACAACGCTACTGAATCTTTAAGATTGATACTCCATTTGGTAGGTTTAGTCTTTAATCCTGCTGGAAATCTAGCCACTCTCTTCATTAGAAAAAAAAATATTGTAGTGGAACTTGTGTAGTTGAAGGCAATGTGGCATAGGAGTACTGTAAATAATAACATATAGAGAACAATACCTGAAGAAAAATCGGGAAGTGTTCAACACCTATATAAGTAAGATTGTTGTGCGAGAAAGTGTAACGGGTAACGATATAATCAAGAAAGGAGAGTTCGACTTCCGTTTAATTACAAATTCTTGGTATGAATTAATCGCTTCTCCAAATAGGCTAAACAGTACGGCACTCGTATTTACGGATACGCATCTACTATGGCGGTTAGTCAATCCCTAATGCGGACTCTCACTCGGGAGCATTTTTTTTTGTTCAAAACACACAGAGACAACCCGTAGTTTATGCTGCAACTATGCTGAGCAGACCTTAGTTACTGTTTCTGAGGGAAAGCGTGTTAAGCCTGATTAAAAATCTGAATAACGCCGGCACACTCAAACCGTCGGTCACGATGACTTGTGTCTTCGTGCTAGCTATATATATACAAGTCTTCGAAGCTATATATATATATATATATATATATATATATATATATGTGTGTGTGTGTGTGTGCCTCTGTGTGTGTGTGTGTGTGTGTGTGTGTGTGTGTGTGTGTGTGTGTGTGTGTGTGTGTGAGGGGATACCCGGCATTGCTTGGATGATCTCTGAATAATTGTTTATCATTGATATTTTTCAGGCATCTATTGAAAATAGCCTTTTATTCAATTTCAAAAAATAAACTTCATTGTTTTATTTTTATTTTTATTTTTTTTTTTTAGAAAATAACTAAATTTAGTAAAAAATACCACATTGCCAACACCACACTCGGTGGGTGTCTTAGGAGGCTGAGCATCATATTAAAAAATAAAAACAATTTAAACATTACATTAGCAAACAATTCTCTGTAAATTAATTTAATTACTATTTTGAAAGAAAGTAGAAGGAAGCAAGATACACTGATAATTTAGTTTTGAAAAAACAATTGTTTAAATTTGAAGTTACATTTGTATTTGAAAAGAAAAGAAAGTTTAGTTAAATAAAAATTAAGAAAGACAGACATGACTTACGGCCAACATTAGTTGTGTTGAATATTTGTTTTAAAAATTTAACTATATGTTATCTAGATTAATTTTCAAAATAATAAGTCTCACTATAGTTTTTTTCGCCTTAATAGAACTAAATTGAAAATTATTTACTTTTTTATATTAGTTACAAACCAAAAAATTCACTGAAGTTTATTTTTTAAAGATTGAATGAAAAATATTTTCCATAAGATGGCCGAAAAATATTAATTTTGGTCAATAATACACACACACACACACACACACACACACACACACACACACACACACACACACACACACACACACACACACAAAACAACTGCCCTTTATGGTGATACTAATTATTTAAATACAGAAAAATCTCTCATTAACGAACTACTAGGGGTTCATTTAAGCCAATCGTCTGTAGTGGAAAGGGATTCTTTTTTAGTTATAAAACCACTATATAATAACTACCAGTAGTTATGAAGATAATGTAAATACTATAAACATGTATATATGACATAAATAAATATATATTTAATATAGATATAGTATGCAAAATAAGACAAATAATAGATTTCTCACATTTACTTTCTCACGTTACGTTTTTATTTACTATAGATGCGAAAATGAATTCAAGTTTAAATGTATCTTAAATTCTTAATTTATGTTTATTTGCATTTAAATAATCACCTCCAAAATAAATATTACATAATTATTTTTCGAAGAAATAAGACACGCTATAATTTTTGCTTGAAAAATGATTAAATTAAATATGTTTAAATATATCTTAATTTAATTTATTTACATTTAAATAATCCCTTCCAAAATAAATATTAAATAATTATTTTTCGATGAAGTAAGACACGCTATAATATTTGCTTGAAAAATGATTAAATTAAATATGTTTAAATATATTTTAATTTAGTTTATTTACGTTATTTAGATGTTTTAGCCGGAAACAGAGAGGCGAATATTTGAATAAACAAATATTAAACTTTTTTTTTCAAATTCTTGTCTTTAATATTCTTCTTGTTTTTAAATTTACTTCGTTTTTTTAATATTCTACATTTATTTATTATAGATGTGAAAATAAATCCGAGAGAATATAAATTTTGAAAATACATACTTTCTGCGTTTAGCAGAATAAAGAAAGGAAAATCGAACAGTTCTAGAATTAGAATTCTTATCGTTCGTTTTTACTTTTTAATTCAGAGAATTTGGAATGCATTTGAATACATTTTAATTTTGAAATATCGTCGTAAATACAAATCATATGGTGATATATTTTTTTTTTATTTGGTGATAATTAGTAATGTATACATATATAATTTGTCATAAACTATTGTAGATTTTTAGTTTTAGCTGGATACACACATACACAGACGCACATACAGAAAATAGCCCTATATATATATATATATATATATATATAAATTCTGTCAATATTTCTGAGATAAGGTATTATGTACATTATTCAGACTATTGTCATCATCTTTGTCGCGATATTTATCACAACGTTTCGGCCGTTGTACGCTCCGACCTTCTTCAGATGGTTGGAATGTCGAACTGAACCATTTATTTCGCTCACTGGGGTAGACTGTTCTAGTTCCACGTACCATGTTTGATGGATGTAAGTTATAAGTTATCTCCTGTTAATTTCCCTCTGAAAGTTTTCCACTGCCTTAACCGGGTATTGAACTCACACTCTTTGGGTCCTGTCACTCGATCTAACCAACGCCTTTATCCACTGTGCCATGTGTCCTTGAGGACTTTTTCCAAAATTTATATTCTCTCGGATTTATTTTCACATCTATAATAAATAAAAGTAGAATATTAAAACTACGAAGTAAATTAAAAATAGAAGAATATTAAAGAAAAGAATTTGAAAAAAAATGTTTAATATGTGTTTATTCAAATATCTGGTTATGAATTTCTGGGTATTATAAACCTAATGTCTACAGCAACCATTTTTACCAGTGCTCATACAACGGCCGAAACGTTGTGATAAATATGACAACAAAGATGACGACAATAGTCCGAATATTGTAAATAATGT